CAGAGGCTGCTGCAACAAAATACCACGGCCTGGGTGGACTCTTTATTCCTTGATTCTCTACTTATTTATTGCCTTTATTTGGAAAGCCTCTCCCCCTTTTTTGGTCTCACAAACTCATTCCTGCCCATTATGTAAGTAACCCCATCTCTGGAAAGCCTTCTCTAATCCCCATGCCTTAATGTGGGTGAGGAAGCTCTTCTGAGATCCCTCACACCACCCTGAGTCAGCCAGGAATCTCAGAACTTAAAAACAGTTCCTCCCTGCTTCCCTCCCTCCCTTTTCCTATTATTTACTGATTGCTACCATAGATGGAGCGCCCATAGGTAAGAGCCTAATAAGTCTTTTATCAGGAGGTTCTGGCTTTACAGAAGGCGTCAAATAATTTCTTGTTGGATAGAAACGTTCTTCGGAGAAACAAATTCCAGGAGTGGGGTTCAAATCAATGTGCAACTCCACATATGGAAAATATGGACTATAAATTGCTTCTCCAAAAGTTACATTGATTTTTTTTTTTTTTTTTTTTTTACTGCTGCTAGCAATGCTACTCTATCGATTGAATCATGTGTTTTCAACCATTCTCTGAACCACAACCATTAATGTGCCAGAATACTTTTCTTTTGGCTCTAAGAGTATTTCATCACGTGGAGCGGTGTTGTCCATCAGGACTCGCTATGATCAGAGGAATCTTCTGTATCTACATTGTCTCGTATGTTGTAGCCATCAGCCACTGAGTGAGCACTGGAAATGTGACGAGTGTGATTCAGAAACAGAACTCTTTCACTTCCTTTAATTTTAGTTAACTAAAATATATTAAACACCCACATGTCCCAATTGGTTATCACTTTTGGACAGCACAACTCTAGAGAGAGAAAAGGAATACATCGGGCAGGTGTAATTGCCGCCTTCTGGATTCCTTTCTTCCTTTTTAAATGCTGGTGGCGTAAGCTCATCCCTAAGGTGTGACCAGTTCACAAAGGCTGGCATTGTTATTATGAGTCAGTGCTACCTAATTCGGGAAACATTTTTTTAAGTGGTGCTCAGATCGGGAGAGTAACACCTTACATCAGGAATACAACCGAAACCTCTAAGCCTGAAGACCCGAAGGAAACTGGGCAGTGCTACTCTTTCTATTCAGACGCATGCACTTAAGCGACCGACGGTGAAAGAGGCCAGGAGCCTGACACTTTCAGAGAGGCATCTGCCGCTGGACTTGTTTTTCCAGGGAAACTGCCAAACTTGTTTTCATCAGGCAGGAAGTGAAGCAACTTCTCAGGGAACGAGCCCAAGGCGTGTATCCTATCAGACCTTTTACCTTTTACCTTCTGCTTGTGAGTCTAGGTGGAGTTTTGCTTTTCAGTTTAAGAGGAGAACAGGGTGGGCTGAAGTTTTCCCCCTCTTACCCCAGGTGGTTTCCTTGGATTTCAAATCCAAAGTCGTATTTGTAATCAGTGTACCTGTTTTGATTCTCCAAGTAATCTGTATGCCCTTAACGGAAGGAAGCTTTTTATCTTGCACTTTTTTTTGTCCATAGAGTTCTCTAATACGAGTAAATGTACTGAGTTGAATTAGAAGAAGCCTGCCATTAAGTACTAGCCTATGTGACCTCCTGGTAGGTAGCCTTCTACAAGCTGATGACGGGAGGGAGTTTGTCTCTTTCTTTGGAGTTGTTGGTACCGGGTGGAAGAGGTAACCTCAAAAGACACGTCCCCAAAAGTCATGTTTTATTATTTAACACCAACATCTTCTACCCCTGGGTTTCTGGTAAGTCAGTTGTGGAGCAGAGACATGGGTTAGCTGGCCAGGCAGGCCTCTCGGCTGGACAGAAAACGGTGGAGTTCCTTTCCCCGGCTCTTCCTACCGGAAGAGAATTGAAGAGGCTCCACAAACCTCTCCAAAAAAGTGTTCTGCCTGAGACTGATTTGGCTCAGTGGAGGACAAAGCGCCGGCTTGCGGACTGAGGGGTCCCGGGTTCGATTCCGGTCAAGGGCATGTACATGGGTTGCGGGCACATCCCCAGTAAAGGGTGTGCAGGAGGCAGCTGATTGATGATTATCTCTCATCGATGTTTCTGGCTCTCTGTCCCTCTCTCTTCCTCTCTGTGAAAAATCAATAAAATATATATTAAACAAAAAAAACTGTTCTGGGTTCAGGATGCGCTCGCGACCCCAAGGTTAGCAGGCTAGCCCCCGGCTCCCAGCGCAGCGCCGCTCGCCACTCACCGCGCGTCCTGGGCGCGCTCTCCTGGAGCCGGACTTGCTGGCCGCCGCGGGCGCCGCGGAGCGAACCATCGGGCGGGCCGGCCGGGGGAGGGGGGTGGTGCGGCCGTGGGGACCGCGGGGCGCGATGGCCACGGGATCGATCCCCTCGCTGCCGCCGCTGCCGCCACCAACTCCGGCTCCGGCTCCTCGCCGAGCGTCGCGCGTGCCTCGTCCTGCTGCGGGGGCCTCGGGGGCCCCGGGGGCGGGGCGCCCTGCGTCCTCCCCTCCGGTGGCGCGGGGGGTGGTAGCGGCCCATTTGAGAGTTTCCCGGGCCTCTGGGCCAGCACAGAGGCTCTGCGCTTGGGCCGGGGCGGACCTACGCGGGCGCCGCGGGAGGAGGGACAAAGGGGTGGGTCCCCCGCTGGCAGGCGCCCAGGCAACTAGTTCGGAGGACTGACCCGCCGCGCGGAGCAGGAGCAGGAGGAGGAGCGGGGCCCACGCGGGACCCGCGCCCGAGATGCTGGTGCGAGGAGATCGCGGGTTTCCACCGCGGAGGGAGCTGTCATGTTGGCACCATGTAAGTGCCCTCTTGCGCTCATGGGTGGGGAGAAGGGTCGCTGAGAGTGGAGAGTGAACCTAGGGGCGCGCGGTGGGCTTCCCAGATGTGCTGTGGGAGCTGGGCTTCTCTCCCCCGAGGCTGGGGGCCTCCGGGACTCCTGGATTCCTCTTCTCTCTTCTCTCTTCTCTTTTCTCCCTTCTCCCTTCTCCCCTCCTCTCCTCTCCTCTCTTCTCGTCACTTGGGTTTCAGATTAAGTCACTGAGTAGGGGACTCCTGGATTCCTCTTTTCTCTTGTCTCTTCTCCTCTCTTCTCCCTTCTCCCTTCTCCCTTCTCCCTTCTCCCTTCTCCCTTCTCCCTTCTCTCTCCTCCCTCCCCCCCTCTTCTCCTCCTCTCCTCTCCTCCTCTCCTCCTCTCCTCCTCTCCTCCTCTCTCCTCTCTTCTCCTCTCTTCTCTTCTCCTCACTTGGGTTACGGATTTAGTCACTGAATAGAGGAGTCTGTCTTGAACTCTTGTCTGGGATCCCTGCTGCCTTGGAGGCATCTCTGGAGCCGGTCTGTTCTGTCATCTGCTGTGTGGCTTTGTGTGTTCCCTCTCTGTTTCAAACCACACTCTGTGTTTGATGAAAGTTTCTAGTGTATGTGTGTGCTTGAGGCAGACTGACAACTCTTTAGAAACCAGGATCTTCATGTCTCCCTTTGAATCAGCAGCCTCTGTGCTCACTATACGTAGGAAAAAAAAAAAAAAATTGTCCTCAGCGGGGAGTGGAGATGGAGCTTCAGAACAAAACCACAACAAGGGAGCGCTGAGTGCTTTCTGCTCGGGCATTATCTCACCTGTCATTAGTTCCTCCTCTTCTGTGTCTTCATTTGTCAGGTTTCCGCTTCTACACAGTAGTGGAAGCTATAAATAATCAGGGTTTGGGCTGCAGGGTTTTGACAGGGAATGCTCCAGAGCTTAGTAATGGGCTACGCCTCCCACCTCTTATTTTAGCTTCGGTTCTCCTTCTCCGGCCGCAGCTCTGCTTCCCTGGCAGCCGTGTGTGTGCCCTGAGTAATGGCTGTGGCTTCCCTGCAGTGCCCGGCTGATTCTTACCATCCTGGAAACTGCCCTCCGGTCACACACTGCCTTCCCTCACCCCGGCAGAGAGGGAGAGGCCCTCTTCTCCAGGTCTGTAGGTGGTCTGTGCAGGGTACACAGATGGTCACTTTGGGAGAAACGGGCCCTCTCCGAGGGGACCGTGGTGGGAAGCATCTATACACACCCGGGAAGGACACGTTTTAAGCGAGAAGTTAGTAGGAGTAATTGCATTGGTAGCAAAGTGCCACGAGAATGACACTTGTTTATTCCATCCATGTTCACAAACAACTTCACTTCCAGTGTGGGGAATGCAAACGGTAAGAGGGCACCTCCGCCTGCCACATCCTTCTGGCTGGGGAAGCAGGCACATGACGAAGACGGATGGGTTCCAGAAAGAAACAGGGACCCGGTGCTGCAGCTTGCCTTGTGGGGAAGGTGAGGGGTGGGTGTTTCCTAAGGCGGCAGTGGCTTCGGATATGTTTCTTGAGCTTGGCCGGAGCGGCTGCCAGACATGGATGAAGGGGAATTTTCTTCTCCGAAATACCACATGTAACCCCCCCCCCCCCCCCTGACGGGGCAGCTAATTGATAACGTCATGAGCACCTCCTGTGCTCATCACTGCGTGTGGTTTCTGGATGAGCCACACTCACATTCTGCCTCGAAGTATCTCTGTTAGATCTGAAAACTGAGCACTTGTGTTTCTGCAGCCCACACCCACGCTGCTGGCATCCCCGAGGCTGGGGCAGGGCGTGTGCAGGACAGAGAGGTGTCCTGTGTGTGTTCCCTTCAGGGATCCTGGCTGGGAAGAAAGGGTGGCGTTTGAACAGATACCTTGAAGCGTAAGCCGGCATAAAAACATGGGGCCCCCACCTCATGGGGTCAAGTGAGAACAGGATGAAATACTGTAGGGGGCCTGGCTCGTGGTGGGTGCCAAGTGAATAGCAGCTCGTAATCCGAACCATAAGGAGCTCCCACTATGTACGTGTTGGTTCCAGGGCTGATAAGGGATGTCAGGTCTAGAAGCATGGACAGGAGGTGCCTGGTGAGTGTCCAGGGGAAAGAGGAAGAGCTGCTTTCACTCTCTTGAAAGGCCTTGAATGCCAGTGAGAGAACTTTAAGTGGGGGTTGGGGGTGAGGGGATGGAGGAGAAGCCGTAGAAATCCCTGAAGTGAATCAGTTTCCCAGTAAATTCTCCACTCCAATCCCCACACAGGGAAATATTACTATTTTTGAGGCACTCATATGCTTAAAGCCAATGAATTTTTATATCACCCCCTGGGAATACCACTTGCTAGGACTTCTCCCTCCATTTGTTTGACTTTTGATCTAGTTTTTTTGTGCGTTGACAAGAGGTCCCAGGCCAACCATTTATCTTCTGCAGAAGTGCCTGGGAATGCAAGGGAGGTGATAACATTCCTACAGCGGCTTTTGAATTTGCAAGGTTTTCTGTCCTGATGGTTTTTTGTTTTTCGTTTTTGTTTGTTTGTTTTCTTAGGAGGCAGATACGTTCTTGAAATTGTAGTTTTAAAAAAGTCATGCAGATTTGGTTGGGAGTGGTGTGAAGTGTAGGCGTGCCTGGGGTGGGGCGAAGAGGTAGGAAGGGTTAGTAATCACTGTTGAAACTTTCAACATACTTCTAACAAGAATGTGAGCCATCTGGGAATTTTTTTTTAATTTTTTTTTTCCTGCCTAATCCCTGAAACAAATCCCAGTAAGGAGTTGTGGCTTCAGATTAAATTGTCTAGGTTGGGAGTTTACTTCCTATAACATGCCTCATTGATGAATTAGACCCTACACAGTTATCAGGGGGTCAGAAGTTGCTGGCCAGGATGGCCTTGGGCCAGCCAGCCTTGGTGTTGAGAGGCATTTTTCCTGGAAAATTGGGTGGGTGGGGCAAAGTGATTCTCTCGGGTGTTTTACTAAGTTTCTTGATCCTCAATCCAAGGGGTATGTAAGGCTCAGAAACAAAAAGACTCAGGCCAGAATTAGCACATATTTATGGGTTAAAAACTTCAATGTTTACTTGAGCTTTTTTTTTTTTTTTTTAAGGTTAAAAAAGAAATCCTCTCTTAAGTGACTTCGGCCTACTTCAACCCCACAAGAATTTTTGTCATGACCCTTGTTAGTAGATGCCTAAATAGCTAGCAAATTTCTGAGGGTCTGGGGTGGTATTTCTATTAAACATTTTTTAAAAGACTGAAACAGCAATGGGACTTTTTTAAAACGCCACGGGACGAGGGACAAATTGTTGAAAACCGGGACTGTCCCGCCAAAAGCGGGACGTCTGGTCACCTTATTCTAGCATCCAGTGTTGATGACAGCTGGGTCCAGTCTGAAAGGCTCCCTAGGAACGCAGTGATGAAGCTCGTACACCGCCTACATTGTTGGGGGGGGCGGGCGGGGCTCTGAGTTGGAAAGTGCCTGCTCCCACTTTCTTAACTGGATTGGGAAATGTGCTTCTCTGAATAGCACGTGGTGGGGCCTGACCACTATACTCGGCGATTGACTCCTAGAGCTCCACAGGCCCGCAGAGACCTCCCAACGAAGGGGCCGGTTTCATTTTGGGTTTTAGATGAAGGCGCCTCCATCACCCAGCCAGGCACTACACCCAAACCTTCGTCAGCCTCCATAACCTGTGAGCTCAGCAGAGAGACTAGGAGCTGGCATATTGGGGGGGAAAAAAAAACCTGAGCGTTTGCTGGAGCGTTTTCTCTGCCTCCTTTGCTGTCCCCGGAACTGTGTTCTCCAAAGCGTGCATTACAGACAGACAGACAGACTTGCTGAGAGGGACATACCCCATTCTTTCCATTGCATGAATATTGTCCTTTAAGAATAAAAAACACAAAGCCAGCTACCTAACTAATTTATTGAATGGATTAGGTTACTTAGAAGGAGGCAAAAATGAGTGTTAAGTAACGTAGTTCCGTTTAAGAGAAACAGTAAATGATCAGGAGGGGTGGTATGAGACTGTCAGAAGTCATGAAGACAGTCCTTTAAATCTAAGACGGGAAATACTGTGACGATTATGGAGAGCTAGGTAAGCTTTGACGTCACCTTCAGGAAAGTTGGGCCCAGAATGGCCCAGGAAAGCCAGGAAGGTTGAATTTGACGGATTTTACATCTTAACGTGTGCATCTTGCTCTTGTCCACGAAGCTCTCTTCCTGTGAAGACTTTAGGAAGCTCCTGACTGTCTTGCCCAGTTCTCATTCCTCTCTCCGCTTCCCATAAGCCATCGCGTGAGCCGGGTTTAAGGTTTGTTGGTATGGCGTTTACAGGGTAGAATGCAAAGGCCACTCCTGAGGGACGTCACCCTGTTATCAAGTGCATCTCCTTTGCCATCCATCCATCAGTACCTAAGAATGGAGAGCCAGTCTCTTCCAGGTGTCAATGTGTTTTACTTGAAAAGCATAGTTTCCATTGGTCAGTGAAGTAAGCTTTAGATCTTGAGATAGGACGGAAGTAACCCTGCCTTGACCTAGAGAAATGAGTGATGGGAAGCTCACGTAAGTATGTAAAACCAGGATAGAAAATGCTTTGTTTTGGTCACCCAAATCCCTGCTTGTGTTTGTTTACGCACACACCATTTTTGAAAAACCCTAAGCCTTCAATTAGTAACTTGTACTTTAGTCATTTTAAATCAGTACAGGTGTTTGTTTAGTGCCTCTGCCAGGTAGTTAAAGTTAAATCAGGTCTTTAACCTTAAAAAGATAACCAGACTTGCCTGCATCAACTTGCATACCATTGTAAGTTGCAGACATAGCAAGATACATTTTTGTAATGTTTATTGTAACTTTCAGACTAAATACTTAGCCTAATTATAATATTCATGGATTGTAGTTTTAATTTATGTTTCTTTTCTCCCAACATTGTGTGTGTGTGGGAGATGTGTATGAGGGGAAGCAGTGAGATTTGGAGTTGCAGGAATGGTACTGGTGGAGAAAGCATATTCTTGGTAGATATCTTCATGACTGAAATGCATGTTTGTATTTTAGGAGGCTGGATACATCAAAACACTTCAAATTATACCATCAATCATGGCAAAGAATACAAATGTTCACTAAACTTTACCTGTGTGCCTATGTAATCATGGATTTAGACATCATTCATATGGTGATTACTGTTTCTATTGTGGACTTGAATCATCCACGTGAAATATAAACATTATGTTTGCAAAAAAAAAAAAAGGGGCTTTTGAAACTTTAATTATAGAGTGCCTCACCTGACAGATACCCTATGTAAACATGGGACTAAGTATATACTGTAGCTATTTATTAACAGTGGGTGACAGTATTGTTAGTCCCACGTCAGAGGTGTTCGGAGGGATTGTATGTAACACATTGTGTGAGAGAATTGTTGGGATAGTTGCTAAGTAACAGTTGCTAAGCTGCAATGAACAGATAGTGATTAAAAGCCAGTTATGCCTTCGCCATTGTAATAAAGAAAGCTTTGGTAGAGATGAGAGAATACAGCAGGTACCTGAGTGGCAGGTGAGCAGGGGAAAGGATGTGCTCTCGGCATCGGTAGGAATGAATGAACTCTTATACTACGTGCAGCTTCTAGGACTTTTGCTCTTCGCGGGAGGAAATGAAGTTCTTAATTCAGCTGCCTGTTTTCATTCATTGAGAACCATTTGTAATCGCCGTCTGAAAGGAAGTGTTTCCCGTTCGAAGTTGTGGGATGTCTTTTTTGCTCACATAGCAGTGCACCCTGGGTGGAATGAACTTGACGAGGGTGTGCGGTGAGAAACTCGCAGCCCATTCCCAAAACCGGGAAGAGGGTTGCCAAGTACATCTGGCAAAACGGAATGAACTTCTCGGAGGGAATTAATTTAGCAAACCTAACCATTTCTGGTTTTTGAAAAGAGCAGCCCTTTAGAAGAAACTTCCTGGTGAGCTCATTCTTAGGAGCCCTTCTTCACTCAGGCTGACTCAGCCGCCTTCTCGCCTGCGATTGGTTCGTGTGCACGTGCTAGTATTTATTAGAGCTCTTATCACGTCTGCCAGGGCCAGTCACTTCCGTCAGCCAGCCGGGAGCCCCTCCCTGGTCTGAGTCATCTTGGAAACCCCAGAAGGCAGGCAGGCCCATTGCTAAGTACCACCTCGCACTGCCTTGATTTGGGGAGGACTTGCTGCAGACACTAGTGAGAATTGAAGATGCGTTGAGAAGTTAGAAGAGTGGATTCCTGGCATTTCTGCAGTGAGGAGATGATCGTTCGTAAAGGAAAGAAGGGTAGAATTACATACAGACCATTTTTTGTGAGGGCATATCAGCTCTGCCACTAACTAGCTGGGTCATTTCAGCAAGGTAAGCAATTCTAGTTCTCGGTCTCTTTGAGGGGAAATGAGCTGTTACAGTTGATGGTCTCTGAAGTCTTTTCGGTGTTTAAGTGTCTGAAGGTTCTAAGTGTTTGGGTGTAAAGCCTGAAGAAAGAACATCCTATATAATAAAAGCCTAATATGCAAATTGACCAAACGGCAGACCGACCAGTTGCTATAACACACACTGACCATCGGGACAGATGCTCAATGCAGGAGCTGCCCCAGCCTGCAGGCCCCAGGCCAGCCAAGGTGGGTGTGAGTGGGGGCTTCCTGATTGCCCTGCTGGTCGCCCTGCAGATCGGCCCTTATCACTGGCCAGGCCTTGGGACCCTACCCGTGCATGAATTTTAGGCACCGGGCATTTAGTTCTAAATAATTTCTAATAACTCCTGTCATCATAAAATGTTTCCAGGCTCTGTAACAACTTTTGTGTTTCTTTATTTTGTCTTTTAAAAAGAGGCCCGTGTGGCTCAGTTGGTTGGGTGTTGTTCCGTGTACTGAAACGTTGCTGGTTCCACTCCGGGATCAGGGCACATGCCCAGGTTGCAGGCTTGATCCCTCGTAGCGGATATCTCCCCCCCCTCCCCCCCCCCGCCTTTCTCTTTCTCTCTTTCTCTCTCTCTCTCTCTCCCACCTCTTTCTCTAAAAAAAAAGTCAATAAACTGTTAAAAAATAAAATAAAATAAAATAAAATAAAATAAAATAAAATAAAATAAAATAAAATAAAATAGATCCAGTGTGTTCTCTCTGAAGGCATTGGTCTCAAAGACAAACTGGGAACCTGAGTGGCTATAGTTGTTTAGCCCATGAAGTGATGGAAGGATCTATTATTCAGTTGCAGCTTAAATAATGTATCAGCCCAGTGCGTGCTGGATTCTTTTCCTTACTCTGCAGCCCAGGCAAGCAAACAAAACCCTCGTTTTTTCTCCTTCCCCTTCCCCTTCCCCTCCACCCTTCCCAGTAAAATCGGCATGCTGGGAGACCCCAGCACCCCAGGGACCTCCCTTGCTGTGGCATGAGGGGGGACGGTGAGGCAGGCCTGCAGCTGGAAGGCCTCTGATGTGTTCACGGAGGCGCTGAAGATGAGCCTACTGGGTACTCTGGCGAGACCTCCCTGCTCACTGGTGTAAACAAACTCACTCCGAGCCCCAGCTTCCCTTCAGGCTCCCCCGAGTTTTTCTGCCTGATTCCATGCAGAGTACTTCGGCTACCTTGAGCTGGCCTGGTTAGTGTCTGGGTGAGTTTTAAGAGGGGAGAGAGATTTGTGGCCTCTTAGACGCCCCATTGACATGTTCCAGAAATGGAACTGGAAGCATTTGTGCTTTTCCGTCTGGTGGTGTTATTGTTAGAATCTAAAAACAGGCAAGTGGCGACACATGGAAATGAAGAGGCTCCGAGTTCATTTTGATTATCAGTGTCCTTCTTTCTCGCAGTACCTAAATGCGGATTTTAATCAGAGGTCCGGGAGAAACTTTTAGTCTGCTGATAACTGCTGAGGCGCACAGTTTGCAGATGTCTTTACTCAGGAGGCAGGGGGAGGCAGGAAAGGTTGACTCCATTTGACCGAAGAACTGAGGTGAACAAAATTGGTCTGAAACTGGGGAAAAATCCCTCATGGAAACAATGGTGTCCAGAGTCTGTTCTCCCGAGCCTGCTCACTAACCCTGAAGCTTTTTCTGTTATTTTTATGGTTTTCCTTGAAGTATAATTTTCTTTTTCTTTTTTTAAAATAATATATCTTATTGATTTTTTTACAGAGAGGAAGGGAGAAGGATAGAGAGTTAGAAACATCGATGAGAGAGAAACATTAATCAGCTGCTTCCTGCACACCCCTCTACTGGGGATGTGCCCGCAACTAAGGTACATGCCTTTGACCGGAATCGAACCTGGGACCCTTGAGTCCGCAGGCTGATGCTCTATCCACTGAGCCAAACCGGTCAGGGCTGAAGTGTAATTTTCATACAGTAAAATGCACAAATCTCAAGTGGAGAGCTTGGTAATTTTTTTTTTTTATTGTGGTAAAATACACATAACATGAAATCAGCCATTTTAAAGTCTACAATTCAGTGGCATTTAATTCATTTATGATGTTGTGCAGCCACTAGTTCCAGAGCTGGATGAGTTTATGCATGAGTGCATTCATCTGTGTGGTTATATGAACTTTCCTTCACCCTAGAAGGTTCTCTGGCCACTTTTCCGAGGGTTAGCACCCCACCTGCAGGGAATAGTTTTGCTTGACCTTGATCCATGTACATGAAGTCAAGATTTTGTGTGTGGCTTCTTCTGCTTACATGACCTTTGTGAGACTCATCTGTATTGTAAGGCGGTTCCACAGTTCTATTTTATTGCTGAGTAGCATTCCACTGATGTGAATTTATTATAGCCTGCTTAGCCATTCTTTTGTTGGTAGGTATTGGGGTTTATTGCCAGCTTTTTTTCTTTTATGAATAAAGCTGCTATGAACATCACCTACGCCTTGTTTTGTGGACTTACTAGTAAGCACATAGTTCTTTTGTGTGAATTCCTAGGAATAGAATTGCTGGGTCATGGCTTGGGAATATGTTTAACTTTCATCCTGTAATTTCTTTTTCAAATGTGTTTTTTATTGTTTGTTTTTTTTGGGGTGCAGGGAGACGGGGAGGGTGAGGGAGATAGAAATAAGAGAGAATCATTGATCAGCTGCCTCCTGCACATCTCCTGGGGATCTAGCCTGCGCTCCAGGCATGTGCCCTGACCGGGAATTGAACTGTGATTTCCTGGTTTATAGGTCAGTGTTCAACCACTGAGTCACACCAGCTGGCTACTCTGTGATTCTTGATTTTTTTTTTTTTTTTAATGAGTATGCTTGAAATTATAGTTTGCAAGACTACAAATTAATGCAGAAACTGAAAGGTGACTTAATTCTCAGACCTGCTGCTTTGATGTATAACTTTATGAAACTTAATGAGTATTTTCTTTCTGAAGTCATTCTGACTTGTTAGCTTTCAATAGAGTGAGTAAAGGTGATCTATAAATCTGGTTTATAGATTGGCTAAAGAGGATATTCCTTTCCCCCTCTGTCTTTTAAGTTTATCTTTTGACAAGTGAAGTGGAGATTATTTTGTGCTGACAGCATGCTCCAAAACATTGGCAACCGTGGCTGTCCTCTTTCTAGCTTATAATATGAAATATGAGCTATCATGTATGGCTCTTTTATTTTTATTACATTTATTGGGGTGGCATTGGTTACTTAACATAGTGCCCTTGAGACATTTAAAAATCTTGAATCAATTTTGGCAGGATCCTCCCTATAACAATAGCACATGTGGGAAGAACTGAGTTTTTCTAATGTCTGACTCTTCTCTCATCCACATAATTTTCCTTATAACTCTGACCGATGTTACCTTTTTAAAGTCCTTACTGTTACGGTTTTGAAAAGTTGGTTAGCTAGAAACAGACTGACCAAGTGTTGTATCGATTCATGTTTTATTTGAGGCTTATACTTATAGTGTTATTTCTGAAGGCTCCTTGCAGAGAAATGTAAAACAAATAAGGAAAGCAAGGGTTTGAAGTTCCCAGATAAGCATGATCAGTAACTTCCGTTTTAGCCACTGGTGTAGCAGGCCGGCTCCTTTGCGAAAAGCTTCCTTGAATTTGCTTGTGCTAGAATATACTGACAGAATCCCCCGTTTTAGCTCTCCTCCACCAGCCTTACCCGGTCGGCCAGGGCTGACAATGGATGTCCAAACGGTTCACAGCGGCTAATACAATGCACAAAGGGCTTCCCTGTGTGGAGAGTGGAAAGTGGAGCTGAAGGGGAGCTTCTTAAGGGCATTGACCTAATTCGCTCCCTCGACAGAAATGATTGGTTTTACATATAGATGTCCGCCCTGTCTGCCAGTGCCACAGCTGGTGATGTCACAGCTGGGAAAAGAAACCATGTATTTTTGTGAAGTACAGCCTTTATTTCTATTTGATAATACCCTTAAGCAAAAAAATTTTTTTTTTTTAAATTTTAAAAAATACACTTTATTTATTTTTTTTACAGAGAGGAAGGGAGAGGAATTGAGAGAAACATCAATCAGCTGCCCCCTACACACTCCCTAATGGGGATGTGCCCGTAACCAAGGTACATGCCCTTGACTGGAATCGAACCTGGGACCCTTGAGTCCGCAGGCAGACGCTCTATCCACTGAGCCAAACTGGCTAGGGCCTTAAACAAATTTTTAAAAAAGCTTAAGTAAAGTTCTGCCAATGAACCGATAGTTCACCAAAGTTAGGGGGACTGAGAAAGGCAGCAGATACTGCATCACCACCCATCTGGGTCCCAGAAAACGTCCTCGCTGGTGGGAATTGGTTCGTCACTCACTTTTCAAAGACAAAATTCTTTGTGGGCCTTTTCCTCTATGAAATGTGGGGAACCAGAGCTGGATTAAAAATAAAAACTAGTTGAGGCACTGCTCCACATTGAAGTTCTGTGTTTGTGATTTACTTTGTCCAGAATACACATCGCGTTGCCTTTGCTACTTATGACCACGGATATTTGCAGCCACATGCACGGCCTCGCAGACTATCTGGGGCCTATTCATAGAAGAGGCGCAAAGAGGAATGCCTGTGTCATGGTGAGGGAAGAGGGCAGTGGGCTCAGTAGTAAGCGCCAGCCAACAGTTGCATTGTTGTTCGAGTTGTTGAGTGCGATTCGATGATTAAATATAAATGTCGACCTGATTGGAAGGTATCCCAGCAATGAACTGTTCTGAAAAAACCGCGGTAGCATATCATTCCACCAGACTTGTTCTCTGGGCTTTATATTTGGGATAATGGTTTATGCAGTGAAGAGTCATAAAAACTGGGGTGCTGTGGCGTCTCTCCGTCTCTTGTTTGTGTCCACTTGGGCATATTGACTCGATGTGTCCCCTGCTACACGGACAGTCCATTATCTTCATGGGAGGCAGCATAAGCTTTTTATTTTTATTTTTTATTATTATTTTCTAAAACTATATTTTATTGATTTTTTTACAGAGAGGAAAGGAGAGGGATAGAGAGTTAGAAAACATCGATGAGAGAGAAACATCAATCAGCTGCCTCCTGCACACCCACCACTGGGTATGTGC